AAAAAAGTCAGAATTCTGACTTTTTTTCCCATACTAAACTTAAAATCTTTTTTTAAAATCAGTTAACTTTTTTTTTTTTTTTTCAGTAGCCCTAATCCTCTTCCGTAATCACCAAGAACAAAGAAGGTATTAAGAAAGAAATTGATTTGTTCACAGTTTGCAATAAGCAAAGTATGGGGGAACAACAAGTGGAGGAAGACTCTAGAAAGAAGAGACCAAACAGAAAATATTGGCACGGAAAATTGTTGCTGGACATCAGCATGTTGACATCATCACTACAATGAAACACGGTGGGGATAGCATCATGCTGTGTGGACGGCTGTCTGCAGCAGGGAGAAGAATAGAGGTCTGTTAGAGACTATGGGAAGCTGGGTGGAGCTAAAGTCTGGACAATCCTGGGAGGAAAGCTGTTAGAGGCTGAAAAGGTTTTTTAGACTGAAGGAGGGTCCTCTTCCAGCAGAACAATCCTGCCAAATATTACAGTCAGAACTACAATCAAATGGTTTAGATAAGAACGTATACTTGTAGACATTTTGTGTCCTAGTCAAAGTTAATCTTTGTTTTCACATGCAATCTTATATAATCTACATGTATAGATTCATCTGGTTCTGTTAGCCATCTAGTAAACAGTTTTGTACTAAGGGAATGATGATACCACCTTTAACTTCCACAGTATATGTATCCATTCAAGTCAGTTTCTTATTGTTTGAAATGATTCGGTTTGTTTCTGACGCACACATAAAAACAAAATCAGATCAAATTACATCAGGAAACATCTGCTTGTGTGTTTTATTAACAAACAACCTGGCAAAATGCAAGTTAAAATTCCAAAACTTATAGGAACAATACCACTACTTAATGGTTAGAAATATTTATTTTAACAAAACAAACAAAAAACTAAATTATTGCAACCCTTGATTTATCATAATGGTCAAAACATGTTTCTTATATTTAGACTGTAGAAAACTTTAGTAATGATACACTCCATTGAGAATGATGCTCAATCTGCATTTATTTATTCATTGCAAAATACATTTGTTATTAGTATTATTATAAGTATTTATCTAAAAGCACTTAATTATACATTTATATCTATTATTTATTATAAATGATTTATTATAAAACTCATTGTCGCCATGACACAGAGCACAATTTAGACAAAATAAAATGCAAAGTCAGAATAAAATCTTCTAACAGAACACAAAAATTGATTAAGATAAAAACAGAAAATGAACCATCTGAGGATATACTAACAATTACTGTTGGGATAGTCTATGTTTACAGTAAAGTAAAGTGTTCTTCATCTCTACAGCAGGGGGCAGGCTTTCCCCACAGAGCCAGGACAGGACAATCATCAAGAAAAACATATAAGCTTATGTGTCTTATTTAAACTAAAATAAATGCTTAAAATTATTCCACCCTGATTGAAGAGTGTGATTAGTTTGTTAACTTTACATAAATTATTTCCTTTTTGCTTTGTCTTCTATTCAGAGCTTTTTTAGCATCTCAAACACAAATGAAGCAAAACCTCTAATAAGAGCAACTTTTGTTTAAAAAGATCTGACAAACAAATTGACCACGGTGACACAGGATGATAATTTACTACTTTACAGTCATAAACATCTGATAAATGAGCTGGAAATAAAAATAAAATATAAAATATAGCAGACGAATAACAGACATGGGATAATGCATCAAAATAAACATTAACGATTCAATCGGCAGTTTGATTTAAAAGCAATGCTTTCTAGGTCCTTAAAAAGATCTGGTCCACAGTGTCACCACAGAATTTCACCGGTGGTTTACATCCTGGACCATACTTCAACAAACTGAGACGACCCCCCAGATTTACTTTCAGGTGCTCAGAGGGCAGAAAGAGAGGTGCCAGGCACTGAGAAGCTCAGCATGCAGGGTTGGACAGCAGCAGCAGCAGCAGCAGCAGCAGATGGCAGCCAATCAGTACACAGGCACATTAAAGTACTCATGACGGGGCTGAGGGAGAGAAATGCACACAGCTTAGAACAACAAAGTAACACTCAGTGGTAAAAGCCTCCATAGCAGCTCCTTCAGCAGCCGGACATGCAGGATAGAGCAGCAGGTGAAGAAAACGCATCATTCACATACGATACTCTCTCCTGTTTATTCCCATGTCAGGTTACAATCACAGCCCTCACTGCATCTTTTTGGGATTTTATGTGACGGACCAACATTGAGACAGAAGGAAAAACCAAACATATTCTCTAAAATCTTTCCCCCAAACCCCTTAAATTAATAGTTTATAGAATCAAAACTAAAGATTAAATCAGCAAACTTTGGGACACTTCTAACTCTGCACATCTACAAAATGATTGGTCTATCCTTAGCATGTATCTTAAGCCAAGTCAAACTGAACAGAGAGCTTCAATCATCAGGATTTGTTTAAGATTGTTATTCAATTTTTAATTAGATTTAGTACTAGACTTTGACTAGACCATTCTTGTACATGAATATAATCTCAACAGTTCCATTTCAGCTGGGTAACATGGACTAAAGATTATATGTTGATATTTTTTAAAGGGCCTGTATCATGAAAAATCAACGTTTTTAAGCTTTTGACAATGCCAGAATGTTATTATTTCATTAAAGTGATGCACAGAGTCATATTTCACTTAACGCATGTCTAAGTAACCCTAATAACTTCTGATTTAAGCCTCCCTGGCAGCACCTATGTTGACCGCGCTGTGCCTGCACCGCAAACAAACGCCCACTTTCTCCCATCAGGGAGGGGGGATGTGAGGCAGAGTGCGATGATTCCAACTCGTAAGATAAATTGGCTGTAATAGCAGCTGATCTGCAGAGGCACAGCAAGTGTTGTTTTTAAGCTAATTTTTGTCGTTAAAATCAGTTTTTTCTTTTAGCCTCGAGGGGTATCGGACTTTGTTAAGACGTGAAACTGGCCAGACGGTAAGAAGCAGCTTTACTTTAAAGGTAACTGAGTTTCTTTTGGAATAAAATGACTAAAATGTCATAATATTTAGATACGCCGTAAGGCTGAAGACAAAACTGAATCATATATGACTAGAGCACTTTGATTTTTCTTGCTATTAAAATCTGGATAATATATAAAAACTATTGATATATTTAAGCAAACAAAGAGGAAAACAAAACAAAAACAAATCCAAAATATGCAGAAAAACTAAACTGGGAACAAAAATAAAGAAATCATATCTACTTATATAAAAATGATACAGCAAGGGAACAAATTAATTTGTCATCCAGTTATGTTCACCTGTGTGCCTCTGATTCTACAGCCGTTAGAGAAGTCATTTCAAACTGTCTACAGACTGATTTCAGTTTCTCATAAAGACTTTGGCCATCTGCCCTAGCTGTTGCTCAGAAACAGCAAATACTGAGGGCTAACATAACCTAACCTGACTCCGGCAGATAGATTTGCTCCGCATATCTATCTGGAAACCTTCGGTTGAAGTAATTTTGGGAAGGGGCGAAAATACTGGTTAGCTGATTGTCCTATGTTGGTGATAGACGGG